CCCTTTCTATTGCAAATTTTTCTTCCTTTGTCTTCTTTCGACTGATATGTCTCCATTTTATGCATAGGCCGTTGCAATGTTTAGAGCTGAGCTGAGCCAATGTGAGGCCGAGCTCAAGAAGGTTTCAGGCGAAGAGAAGGCCTTGAGGCTCCTCTGTAGCCAGAAAGAAGAGGAGCTTAAGGATCTCCGAACAGCATTGGCTAAAGCTCCAAAAAGCGAGTCTGAGATAGATGAGCAGGTAACAGCGCTTTTAACAAAGTTTCGCCCGGGGGTGCGTCCCCGAAAATAGATTAGGTTCCTTTTTTGTACAAGGGCCCCTTGTGGGTGTTGTAATATGCTTTGTAAATTTCCCTAATGAATATAAAGTAACTTTTTGCTCTATTCTTGATTTGTGTTGACTTTTATTTTGTCCCCATTTATGAAAAATTCTGATGATTCAAATACTAAGCTTGAGTATCGGTTTAGACTCGTAATAAGCCCTTAGGCTTTCATTGCTCAAGATCATAACCCTTAGGGTTTTAGATGATCCCCGAGCTGAACTTATAATCAATTTTATGCAATCTCGGGGCAACGGGGCCTTTGGGTCCGAGTTGAATGAGAACGGAGTCTCGGACTCCCATAAGCTTTTGGCCCTATATCTCTTTTAAGCTGGCCCTTAGGTTCTTGTATATCGGCCTTTAGGCTCTTGTATATTGGCCCTTAGGCTCTTTTTTAGAATTGTCCCTTAGGCTCTTTAAATTGGGCCGTTTCGGCCTCTAAAATGGCTATATAATTTTTGCCTCATTTAGGCTAAAAGACTTAGTGAAATTTTAGTTATTCCTTAGCATGTGTTTTCTGTACCCGTTTGGTTTTTCGAAGGTTCGACGCATCGGAACCTCATCAGTAATTTTGTTTGTGTAGAAATAATCGAATACCTCTTAAGGGTTTTCCGAAGGCTGGTGTTAGCGAAGCCTTTGGATTATTCGAGGGCTGATTTATCGAAGCCCTTAGATTTCTCGGGGGCCGAAGTTATTGAAACCCCTTATATTTTGCTTTTGCCGAGGGTAGCCTGACTTAATTGGTTTTTCAATATTTGAAGGCCTTTAATTTTATAGAGGAACTCGGACGTCTCGAATCGCATTATTCTGGCCGTAGCCTTTATGTGACCGTAGTCTTTAGTATGGCCGTAGCCTTCGGGTTTGTCACTTGGACTTGTTTCCCGATAACTTTTCGAACTTGTTCGAAAAGTTAGTCCCCGAGTTTATTTGCCTTGGCCTTTGTTTTGAGGGCTGCTTGTTTGAGGTCTTATGAGTTCGAATTTTTGATGACTCGGATGTATTGACTTCCCGTGACAGTCCCCGGGTATTTCGGGGTGATTTGGCCCTTGAGCCACTTCCCTTAGGATTGTAAGTGTAGAGCTCGTACGAGATGCAAAGTGTTTTTGATATAACTAGAATGCTTCTTTAAATAGTTGATACATACGTACATGTTTTGCCGTCGGGGCTTGACTATTCTATATGGACACAGTTCATTTGACCATTTGGCCCATTACAAAGTTCTCCTATCGAGGCCCTCTTAGGCGTGAAATATCTTTCTCAAAAATATAACCTCCGAGGGTGATGCCCCCCAGTATTCGAGGTTGATCGAAAAGAAGTCTTGAATACTTGTTGAATGTTGCTTAGGTAGCATATAGGTGTCGCCTCGTTAAAAACCTTGTCGGTAAAACCCATTTGGGATAAAACCCGATCTAAGGGAAAACGAGTGAAACGCATGCTTTCAAACCCAAGGTCCTCGAGCTGAGAGATGCCTCGATGTCTCCAATCGAACATCTGCAAGGATCTAGTTTTAAATACAAATGGAAAAGGGGGGGAAGGTCATACATCAGCAGTAATATCGCTTGAGCATTGATATATTCCAATTGTTTGGTAGTTGCTCGCCTTCCATTGTGCTAAGTTTGTAGGATCCTTTCTCTATGACTCTGAGGGCACGGTACGGTCCTTCCCAGTTGGGACCTAGCTTCCCTTAGGACTAAGTCCCCGACTCTAAAATGTCAAAGGTTCGTCCTTCTGTTGTAATACCTTTCGATCCTTTGTTTTTGCGCGGCCATTCGAATTAATGCGGCCTCACGTTTTTCATTGAGTAGTTCAAGAGAAGTGTTCATAGCTTCGTGATTTGAGTCCTCGGTGGCATACTGCGCAACTTCGACTAGGATTAATGCTTCAGATCTTTATACCAAATAAAACGGGGTCTCCCCCATGCTTGACTTCAAAGTTGTTCGATATGCCCATAGCACCTCGGGCAATAATTCTCTCTATTTCCCTTTAGCATCATCTAACCTTTTCTTTATGTTTCGAATGATGGTTTTGTTTGTGGACTAAGCCTAACCATTTGCGCTTGGGTGGTATGGTCCTCAAGGAATTTTGTCACTTTGCTGCCGATGAACTGCTTCCCATTGTCGCATGTTATCTCGGCAGGTATCCCGAACCGACATATGAAGTGGTCCCATATGAAGTCGATGACTTCTTTTTCTCTTACCTTCTCGAAGTCCTGCGCTTCAACCCATTTTGAGAAGTAGTCAGTCATAAGCAAAATAAATCTAGTTTTACCTGGAACCGTTGGTAGGGGCCGACAATGTCCATCCCCCATTTCATGAATTGCCACGGGGATAGGACCGAGTGGAGTTGTTCACCGGGTTGATGGATTATTGGTCCAAATCTCTGGCATTTATCACACTTCCAAATGAACTCCTTGGTATCCTTTTCCATGTTATCCCAATAATACCCTGCTTTGATCACCTTGCGAACCAGAGAGTCTGCACCATAATGGTTCCCATAGGTGCCCTCGTGGATTTCCTGTCGTACATAATCGGTGTCCTCGGGTCCCAAGCACACTGCCAGTGGTCCATCAAAGGTTCTTCTGTATAACATTCCATTTTCATCGAGCGAGAATTGAGCTGTTTTGGCTCGAAGTGTTCTTGACTCTTTTGGATCCGCGGGGAGCTTCCCATGCTTCAAGTAATCGATGTACTTATTCCTCCAATCCCACGTTAAACTTGTTGAATTAATCTCTGCATGGCCTTCTTCGACCACCGACTTCGACAGCTGGACGACAGCCCCCGGGACAATATCGTCTTCTTCGACCGATGACCCCAAGTTTGCAAGTGTGTTGGCCTCGCTATTCTTTTCTCGAGGTACATGGTCCAGTGTTCGTTCCTTGAAGCGGTGCAATGTCATTTGAAGTTTGTCTAAGTACATTTGCATTTGATATTCTCGAACCTCGAGGCTTTCATTTACATGATTTACTACCAAAAGGGAATCACACTTTGCCTCGATGACCTCTGCTCCAAGGCCCTTGGCTAGTTCAAGACCTGCAATCATGGCCTCATACTCAGCCTCATTGTTAGTCAATTTAGAAGTTTTGATAGACTGCCTCATAACACTCCCTGTAGGCGGCTTCAAAATGATGCCGAGCCCATATCCTTTCACATTCGAGGCACCGTCTGTAAAGAGGGTCCAAACCCCCGATGACGTCCCCGTTTATAGCAAGAGTTCCTTTTCTACTTGGGGTACGAGGGCAGGCACGAGTCGGCCACAAAGTCTGCCAAAATTTGAGACTTGATAGTCGTTCGAGGCTGATATTCGATATCATATCCTCCAAGTTCAATGGCCCAATTGGCCAATCTGTACGATAATTTGGGTTTATGCAAGGCATTTCGAAGCGGGTATGTAGTCAGTACACGTATAGTATGGCATTGAAAATATGGTTTTAATTTCCTAGATGCGCTTATTAATGCAAGAGCTAACTTTTCCAAATATGGGCACCTGGTTTCAGCATCTCCTAGGGTTCGACTCACATAATAGACAGGAAATTGCATACCTTGCTCTTCTCGAACCAACACGCCACTTACCGCTACCTCAGACACGGACAAATACAAGTAGAGTATTTCATCCTCCTTTGGAGTATGGAGCAGGGGTAGGCTCGAGAGATACCGTTTTAATTCTTCCAAGGCTTGTTGGCACTCCGGAGTCCATGCGAAGTTGTTCTTCTTTTTGAGTAGGGAAAAGAAGTGATGGCTCCAATCTAACAACCTCGAGATAAATAGACCTAGGGCAGCTATCCATCCGGTCAGCCGTTGCACGGCTTTCACATTGTTCACCATGGTTATTTCCTCAATGGCTTTGATTTTATCGGGGTTGATCTCGATACCTCTGTTCGATACCATGAAGCCCATGAACTCGCCCGAGCCGACTCCAAAAGCGCATTTCTCGGGGTTGAGCTTCATGTTGTACTTTCTAAGAATGTCGAATGTCACCTGCAAATGGGTCAAATGGTCCTCTGTGCGCAGGGACATAACTAGTATGTCATCAATATAAACTTCCATGGATTTGCCTATTTGATGTTCGAACATCTTATTAACTAGGTGTTGATATGTGGCTCCTGCATTTTTTAGCCCAAAGGGCATTATATTATAACAATACGTACCATACTTCGTGATGAATGGAGTTTTTTTTTCCTGTCCTCCGGGTTCAATTGAATTTGGTTATACGGGGAGTAGGCATCGAGAAAGGTAAGGATCTCGTGGCCGGCCGTAGCATCGATCAAACGATCGATGTTGGGGAATGGGAAAGAATCTTTAGGACATGCTTTGTTCAAATCTTTGTAATCTACACACATTCTAAGTTTATTCCCCTTTTTAGGGACTACCACTACGTTAGCTAGCCATTCAGGATATTTTACCTCCCTGATGGATCCTATTTTGAGAAGTTTGGTTACCTCTTCTTTGATGAATGCATGCTTTACCTCGGACTGAGGTCTTCTTCTTTGCATCGTCGATTTGAATCTGGGATCGACACTTAGTCGATGGCTAGTAATCACCGGTGGGATCCCTGTCATATCTAAGTGGGACCAAGCAACGCAATCAATATTATCGATGAGAAACTGAATGAGTTTGTTCCTAAGTTCGGGGGTTAACCCCATCCCAGGTATACCTTTCGTTCTGGAAGATGATCGATCAATATGACCTATTCGAGTCCTTCGACTGTGGATTCTGTCGCATCTGATTCCTCGGGGGCAATGAAGGTTCGGGGGATGAGGAAATCTTTTTCTTCATCCTTAGCCACCTGTTTATAGAGCACTTGTCCCTCGGGCTCAACTGAGGGCACGGGCTATGATTACTATTTGGCCACCTGTTCGCCTTCGACTTTTACGATGTGGATGGTGCCGATACCGGTGCCAAGTCGTGCACTGCAAACATTTCCTTAGTTGCATGCTGCTCTCCATGTATTGTTTTTACGCCATCCTTTGTTGGGAACTTCATCATATGATGAAGGGTCGATAGCACCGCTCTCATGCTATGGATCCACAGCCTTCCAACCAATGCATTATACCTCATGTCACCTTCAATGACATGTAATTTGGTGTCTTGCATGGTTTCGGCCACGTTGTCTGGGAGGATGATTTCTCCCTTCGTTGTTTCACTTTCCATGTTTAAGCCATTCAAGACCCGAAATGCCGGTATGATTTGATCGAGCAGTCCGAGATGCTCCACGACCCTTGACCTGATTATATTTGCCGAACTACCTGGATCCACGAGAACACGTTTAACTTGAACTTTATTGAAAAAGATAGAAATTGCCAGTGCATCATTGTGAGGTTGAGATAAAGCCTCGATGTCTTCCTCGCTGAATGTGGGTGTCCTCAGGCATGTAATCCCGAGTCCATTTCTCCCTTGTGATGGATACTTTGGTACGTTTGATATTGGTCCATGTGGGACGTCGACTCCACTGATGATCATGTGTATAACATGTTGAGGTTCTTCAGGTTCATTCTTTCTGCCTGCATCCCTCTCCCTGAAGTGATTCTTAGGCTGATCACTTAGGAATTCTCGAAGGTGGCCCTCATTGAATAACCTAGCCACTTCTTCCCTTAGGTTCCCGCAATCCTCCATTCTATGACCATGCGTGCCATGATACTTACACATCAAGTTCGGGTTCCTTTGGGAGGGATCGGTCTATATTGTCCTGGGACACTTACTATCTTTGATTCTCCCAATAGCTGAGACGATCCCTGATGCATCTATGCTGAAGATGTATTCTGATAATGGGGGACCTCGGCGGGGTCGGCGTGCTTATCGAACCTGTTCTTGCTCATGAGTCCCCGAGAACCTTGACCTTGGTCACTTCTTCGATCTCTCCAAGAGGTGTTGTGGCTCGGACTGTTATTTCTTCGATCGGCATATGGTTGATACCGTTCTTTGTTGAATCTTGATCCCCGATCTGTGTCCCTCGGGGGCTTAGCTGCGAATCTGTTAGGATGAACTGAGCCCGTAGGGGCTCCCAACTGGTCGTCCTCGACCCTAATTTTTGACTGATAACGATTGTGCGCATCCGGCCATGTCACAACTGGACATTCAATCAAGTTGTGCTTTAGTTGTCAAGATGCAATCGATCTTCTTTCATTCAAACCTTGCATAAAGGACTGAACTGCCCAGTCATCGAGACCGGTGGTAATTCCATCCTTTCCATCTGAAACTGGGATACGAACTCCCTTAGAATATCGTCATCCCTTTGTTTATTTTGAATACGTCCGATTTTCTTGTGGCCACCTTTATAGCCCCATCGTGTGCTTTTACGAAGGTGTCCGCCAACATAGCAAATGAATCAATAGAGTTAGGAGCTAAGTTGTGATACCATATCATAGCTCCTTTTTATAATGTTTCCCCAAACTTTTTCAATAATACTGACTCGATTTCATCATTATTCAAGTCATTTCTTTTGATTCCACAAGTGTATGAAGTAATATGTTCATTAGGGTCAGTTGTTCCATTGTATTTTGGTATATCGAGCATGCAAAACTTCTTGGGAATGGGCATCGGAGCCGCACTTGGTGGGAAAGGTTTTTGTATGAAAGTTTAGCATCTAAACCTTTCAAAACTGGAGGTGCTCCCGATATCTGGTCTACCCGGGAGTTATAAGTTTCTACATTCTTATCGTTGTCTTCTATCTTCTTTTCGCCTGACTCAATCCTTTTAGTCAGTTCCTCAAGCATTTTCATGATTGTGGGGTCAGTTCCTAAGCCGCTTTCATCGGGCCTTCCTAGCGCTGGTTCATGTCGGGCGTTCAATGGTTCGGCGGTGTTAGGAGTTCTGTTTTGACTATGAAGTTGAGCGATGGCGACTTACTGAGCTTGCAGCATCTCGAATATCACTTGGAGGTTGACTCCTCCTTCTTCCATTCCTCGTGTTTCCTGGCCTACGGCTCGGGCTTCCCTGTGTGCATTCCTTACGGGGTCTGTGCCTGCGTCGGTGTTTAGAGCATTGTGCGAACTAATTTCAACTGGCTCCACGTTTGGCACTCCCTCAGGGTTTATGGGTGGTACACCGAGCCCTATACCGCTGTTTTCTCCGAGTCCCTCACTGTCATGAGCAGGTGCGTTTTGTGCGCTAGACATATTTTTGCATGAAATCAAAAAATCTTTGACAAGCAAAAGTGTGAAGAATAATGTGTGTTATCAGAAAACTAGCACTAAAATAATCACTATTATCTTTAGCCCCACGGTGGGCGCCAAACTGTTTACCTCAAAAAATGTGAGTAACAATTAAAGATAATTTGTGATTTTAAAGATATGTGATATATTCTAATACTAGTGATTATACGAGCAATATTAAGCTTAAGTAAGAAGAATTGATGAACCAAATCAGTGTTATTGGAGCAACAGGGGCTTCGAGCTTGATTATCCCAGGGACCTCGAGGTCAGCTAGGAACAATAAAGTATGAAAAATAAAGTAAAGGCAATAAAGCTGAAGAATAATTGTTGAGCACGTTAAGCAAGAAAAGCAGAGTGGAAAGTTCTATTGCAGTGAATAATGTGTCTTACAAATAGTTGGGGTCCCCTTTATATAGGAGGGGAAAACTCTAATATGGTACATTTCCAATTATGATAAAAAATTCTATTGGTACAGTTGTATAACTACTTAGTACGGACTTGTACTATTTCGTACAAATCTTATCCTATATTTTATTCCCTGACCCACGTGTCCTTAAGAAATTCCCGCTCTTTCTTGCGTGTCTTCGAGATTGTACTGCCCTCAATGTAGGTCATGATAGCCCAATTTAAGACTTCAAAATCAGGCTTCTTGATTTTGGCCGTATACACCCTGCAGTTCCATGTTCTTTATCAGTTGAATTCACTAGGCTTCAGTACATGTAATATGTTTTCATTATCGGGATGGATTCTAGTTTTCTTAAGTGCTTCTAGACTAATGTGTGTTCCCTAACTTATCTTCTATTCCTATGTTTGAGTTCTAGACTTTGTTGAGTTCTTCTTGCCTAATATGATAGATCTGTAAGGCTGTATTGATTAGCTAAAGCATATTTCCATGCCATTTAAGTTCTATTGTATGTTTGGTTTGTTAAATCTTATGTCTTTAGAATGGCTTCAAGGGCAGATTTCTATGTTAGTTTCCTTTCTGTCTAAGTAATTAGTATGAACGATTATGCTTGCCTGTCTTATTCCTCTTAAGTGATATATATTCTCATGAGTTAAGATACTGTTATGGTCTGTTATAATGCATGCTACTAGTTTTGTTGCTATACTGTTTGTGGTCATGTTAGGCTCCCATATTAGAAATCTTCATGTGAAATTGCATATCCCTCTAACTACAATTTTTTCGAATAAGGCTCACTTGTTTAAAGTCTTCTCTGACCAATTTGGTAAATATTTTGTGCTAAACTTAATTTCTGGGAAATTAGCATGTGTGTGTGTTTGTCATGTTAGCTCAATAGACTTGTTTCTTAAGCCCTCTTAATGTGTAAATGTGTTCAGCATGCTACAACCTTTTCTTTGTTGAATAATTGCTCAACATGGTGTTAGTTTTTCTATGTCAAACTTGGTATGTCAAAGCTGTCTACCTAGTTGGTATGTTCAAGCCCTCTTGTTTGACCAATCTTATTCCCTTAGCTTCTAAGAATGATGATCATTGCTACATTTGGATTTTCAAGGTCTTAGGATTTTTAGTTGGTTACCATATATGGTTTCTCCCTTCTAAGCCTGGTACGAGTTTGTCTTTGGCCCTGGGTGTGTAATTGATACACTCTCACTCTAGAGATGTGATGGGTTATGGGTCTACTCTTCGTGTGAACGGTGAAGCTTGCTGAAGGCCCAGGTGTTATTGGGTTATCTCTCTTTTAGGCCTGCTCTGTTTATTGGGCCTGTAGTATCTGTATAATTCATAAACAAAAAAAGATGGGGAAATTAGTAAAAAAAATGGTAGGGTACTCTAATTCTCACATAAATGGGTAGAAAGCATGCCTATAGGATCTATCCGGTCTATTCGCTATTTGCTCTACAAGTTTTTAATTTCACGTGTAGAAAGACTGCCTATAGGAGTCACGGGCACACACATCACTTGGCAACACATGATGTTTGAAGTGTTTGTTGTACCTATTTTCACTATTGTGCACTCTTAGATAACATGTCTATAGGGCGCAACAATGCAATATTTTACTTACCTAGGTGCCATGCCTATAGGACTTCGAATGATTTATCTATCAATCGCCTCAATTGTTTTAGTGTACTGCTCATATAGATACCATTGCTACAAGGCTTAATAATCAATCAGCTGCTCCATATCGTTTGTACTGCTTCACTTAGATAGCATGCCTATAGGGATAAAACTATATAAAATCAATTTCAATTGCCAACTGCTAAATATCATGCCTCTAGGACATTATCACTTGCCTAAGGAACTTGTCTATAAAATCAGCGTTGGTAATTCATGATTTTGGGATCGTTTCATTGCCTTTTGCACAAACAATCTAGAGATCATGCCTATTGACTTGTAACTTGCAAATTTGTTGCCTGTACATTGCTAAAAATTAGAATCACTTAGAAACCATGTCTATAGGATTTATTACGATTTAATCTCTCCGTACGTTAGCCTAAAAATGCGGCATTACCTGTTTGATACTGGAATGGCATAGAGATCATGCCTATAGGATTGAAGGACTCTAAGTCTTAATTTTGAGATGTTTTACTACTTAATCTGAAAATCTGACTGTGTGTTTCTTTGTTTATGTGTGGAGGCCAACATGAGACACTCTTTGTTATTATGTGTAGTCCTATTTGTTTTGAATGAGCGATTAGTTTTTGAGCAACCTAAGTAAGTCTAGAACCACCCAAATAGAGGTCCAAAGCCTCCCGGACCATAGACATGGGACAGGTAGTGCACGCATAGGGCACGACTTAGAATTGAATTAGAGCGCTTTAACTAAACAACTTCAACATAGTAATCGGGTAGCAGGAGATGATAGTTTGTGCCCGCTGAATGATATGAGCAACCCCTATCTAAAAGGAGTTGGGAAGTATTATTTATGTTACACAGGTGATCCTTTAGGCTAAAAAACTTAGGACCCCATCCTTTATATACTTGTTATTTACACTTAGTTATTTAACCTAGGCCAATGTAGTTGTATCCTTATAGCCATT